GTTACCAGAGGGGAAGGAGGTGGGAGGGGATAAATGTGGAGTTCAAGATTTGCAGGTACTAACTACTATATATAAAATAAACAACAAATTTCTATTGTATAGCACAGGGAGTTATATTCAGTATCTTGTAGTAACTTATAATGAAAAAGAATATGAAAAGGAATATATGTATGTACATGTATGACAAACATTGCACTGTACACCAGAAATTGACACAACATTGTAAACTGACTATAATTTTTAAAAAGCACCCAAAAAAAAGGGGAATCAAAATATTCAAGCATCAAAGCAGTGTTTATTTTGAAGCAACATAAAGCTGCCTCTTACTGAAGAGCGACTCTCTTCCTGAAATCATGTTAGTTCTAGTTTTTAGTTTATAGATTTTGTGTTTGGCATTCCAGGTTAACTTCCCTGTTGATTAGATGTAAGCCAAGACGAACAGCAGTAACTGCCACTGTGAAAATGAGATGCGACACAACGTCTGGTCTTAAAAGTCAAGAACCTATGAGTTAACTAGATGATCTAATCTAGCTTCAAATTAACCGCATTAAAATAAATCAAATGCTCTTTCCTCTTCATGTTGCAAAACATAAAAATGACAAACTCCGTGATTTGCAAATGACTGTCCTCATTTGATAGGGGAGATGGTGCGGTGTCTTTAATTCCTTTATCAATATTATCCCAGACCAACAGATGGAAGATCACGCAATTAAGGAGAAATAAGCATGTGCTACACTTACCATGCTTTTTAAATTTTTTTCCTAAAGTTTGCTTACTGGAAGCTATTTTGCCGTATCCACCAGACAGGGGTGTTTACAGCCATGAAATGACAGAGGACAAATTAAAGGGCTCAGGGAAATCTATGATATATGGCAGAGGCAGGGACAGAGGACAAATTCACCACTCCGTTCTCTGTCTATTCCCCTATGGCAAGATTTTTATTCTACCAGACAGGTATCCAATAATCCTTGACTTTCTTCTTATAGGGGAAAATTATGACCTAGATTTTGCCGAGATAGTAGATCAGTCAGAAAGTATTTATTGGGCACCTATTATATGCTGAGCATGTTGCTGGGCTCTGTAGACACACTGGTGACAACCCAGATAGAGGCCCTGTCTACGAAGGGAGCCAGAAAATTAGTGGGGAAGATGAATACAAAGGAAATTATTTCCTTTACTGAATGTGAAAGAGCTGAATTTGGGATCACAGCATTAGGGATCAAGACAAGTTTCATGCTGTAGCATATCGCATCCTTGCAAGAAACAGAGGCACATACACAAATGGGTGACTTTCATAAAGGGACAATCTATAAAGTTGGAAGGGTTTAGTTCCTTAACAGGAATCATGCAGTACCACAGGGCTGCCACGAGGGAAAGGGGAGCCCTCTAGAGTAGCAACAACAAATGGTACAGGAACTAGGGTCCAGCCACAGCAGAGAGCCGGCGACCACCGCCCAGGTCCTTGTCCGACTCCACACACACACTCAAAGGAGTAAGACGGCCATGCTTAGAGAAATCTGAAGAACTGTATGGAGAGGTCTGCCGGACAGGCACCACTGCCTCCGTGGAGGAGTACAACCAGCCCTTGGCAACCCCATGGGGAGGCCCAGGGAGTAACTACCCCAGCCTCACTTTCCTCCCTCCCAACTCCAGTAGGCAAACACAGGGCCCAGACTAGGCACAAAACTTTTGGAGGTCATCTTGTTCCTTTTACCCTAAATCTGGCCCTGGATGGACCCGATTACCGCCGGGCAGAGCAAATTAACAGAAGAACACATAGTATACCTGGCACATCTGCTTTATTTTTCTAAACCAGGTAACATCTGCTCTAAGTCTCCATCTACCTGGTTGGAGAGAAATGCAATTTCAGTAAATGTCTGGCCCCCCTCACCTCCTGGCATTATAGAAGAATCCTAGGAATCTGTGGCAGAAATACTGGGAGAGGGTCCAGGACCGGATGGTGGTTGTCATCTATAATTGTGCCCCTGAACTACTCAATATTTCCCTCCTTGAGGGATTTTCACATCTAGGGACTAACCATATTATTATTTTCTTGACCTGGTCTTAAAACCAACCTATTTAATATTTACAAATTAATAGCAATAAAACCATGGTTTTAATATTCAATTTTTTCCTCTATGCATTAAAATGAATAAATAAATAAACATCTGCTCTCTAAAATCCTCCAGCGCTGTTACCACTGTTGGGGTGCTTTGGGCTTGCTCGATATTTCAGTCTGTCCTCCCAAGCTCAGCTGCCCTGGGCAAGCTCAGGGATGCATCTCCCAGGAGCTATCCCCCCAGACTCTGATTCCACATCCTCCCTCTCCCCATGGGGACAGAGCAGGGCCTTGACCGTGTTCTTAGTTTCAGAGGTCACGCTAACTCTGCCCAACCAAGCCCTGGCCCCGCCCCTCCTCCACTGAGAAACCCACTGATAATCTTCCTGAACGGATCCAAACCATAAAAGCCCCTAGCAAATATTATGCTCAGTGAAATACGCCAGACAGGGAAAGACAAATACTATATGATATTGCTTACATGGAGAATCTTAAAAAATAATACAAATGAATCTATATGCAGAACAGAAACAGACTCACAGACATAGAAAACAAAGTTAAAACGACCAAAGGGGAGAGGGAGAAGGGGAGTGACAAATTAGGAGTATGGGATTAACAAATACAAACTAGTCGTTGTATACATAAAGCAGGTAAGCAGCACGGGTTGACTGTACAGCACGGGGAATTACACTCAATGTCTGGTAACAACCTATAATGGAATACAATCTGCAAAAAAACTGAATCACTATGCTGTATACCTGAAACAAGCACAATATTGTAAATCAACTATACTTCAGTCAATCAATGGATAACTCCTACCTCTTCCAGTTCAAGAGAATTCAGAAATTCAACAACATAGTGCCAGCTCCTCTGCTGCCAGTTAGGAGGGGAGAAAGGAGTCCAACATCACCTATTGTCACAACATCACCTGTTGTGTGTGCTTTCCCAGCCATTCACCCTGTCACTAAATGGTAACAGCTGTTATCAGGGGACAAGCAGTGGTGAAGAAGGTGTCCAGCTGGGGGAAGAAGGGTATGACCAGCACAGACTAGGAGAGAATTGGCCACAGGCAGCCTGGAGAAAGGTGTGCAGAAGTCAGAGTGTCTGAGCTTGGCAGGCATCCTCGCTAATTTTGCAGGAGACCGTCCAAGTTCTCTTGGTACCTGCCTTTCCAACCCTGCTAATGATGATAAACTGTTGCCTCAGGATCCACGGCCAACCCTCTACAGTGCATATGGGTTTACCGCCGTCACCCTTGAACAACAGATCGTAATTAGAAAATATGAGTATCTGGTAGAGTGTATGAACTCACAGGTGTTGTTTTGATCCTGAGTGACGCCAACATCTAATTGGCCAGCTTTCTGCAGGGCAGACCTCCTGGGAAATATGTAACAAAGCTAGTGATGGTTTTTTTTTAAAAAACTGAAGAACGTAATTGCCACTTTGGCCATGCAGTGCTGTGGCCCAAGTTTAGAGCCAAAGAGGTGGCCATGACACGTGGAGGCAACAAGGGAGAAATTCCCCAACGTCTCTGCCCTTTCACAGGCTCATTTCCTTATTCTGGTCTCCCACTGGCTAAACTCAGTGAGAAGCCAGCCAGACAGGGTGGTGGGGAAATGGAGCCCCCAAGGATCAGCCTTGCAGGACACAGAGCAGAAAGCAGGGCAAGATGCAGGCAGATGGGCAGAGGGAAGATTATTTCAGTTATTTTTATCGCCTCTATTCAGGCTCTGGAGATCCACTCAACTCATCGGAACCTGACTGGGATCAGAAGTATGGCTAAGAGAGAGCGGTGAATGGTCTCTCCCTCAGGGCAGAGTCTATAAAATCAGGGTTTTTTCCAGTAATTTTCAAGGATAACATGGCTCTATGACTATGATATAAAGACATTACAAGAAAAATATGATACTGACCATGAGACTCATAAAAAATATTAAAGGCACCTTTTATTATGGTTTTATTCCCTTAACCACTAATGGTGTAGGTACTGGATATGGGGTTAGTGGAGAATATTCCATCATAGGACAGCAAAAAGGCATTTGTAGAAAATTGCCCCTCCATAAGTACCCCTTTCAGAGCACACAGGACACGGTGATGCACTGTTCAGATTCCTCATTAGGAAGAAAGGTCTTAGTCTCCTGGTTGCTGGGAATGGTGTTGACGGACAGTTCTCAACTGTTAGTGTCCTCCAGGGATTGCCTTAGCTTGAAGAGAGACGCTCATCCAAGGTCAGTGACCTCTTTCCAGTCCCAGAACAGCCCACATCCAATGACTAATTAACACAGGCCTACAAAGGGCCAGCCCTCTCGCTCCAAATAGGGGCGGTCCTGAAGGGCCACGTCCAGACCACCCCTTAGAAGTGGCTCAGGCTCCCAGTGAGACTACACCTTAGCTTAACCTCCCTCTCTGTGTAATCCTGCTTCTTTTTTTTTCCCTTCCAAGAGCACTCCCTAAGAAGAGTCCTAAATTCTAATCTCCACCTTGGACTTTCCTTCCCTAAAACCCAACCCACATCACAGAGAGCCCCTCAAAGACAACACGTGCATTTCTCCGTATTGTTCAACGTGCCGTCTGCGGTAAAACAGCTAAACAAAGGGATTCTTCTGGGGCCGGTATTTCATTAGACTCTTCGCACATTGGTTTCCCTTTTCCAAGTTTCTAGTTTTGCTCTTGAAATGTACTTGAGAAAATTAATAGACCTGGATCTTTTCAAGCAAAACCCAAAGCACACTAACTCTTATACCAGGAAACCAGAATAGAGGGCAGAAAGGAGAACCAGGGGCCGAGGCAAAAACCAATGAAGGACTTTAAAAAAAAAAAAACAAGCAGAAGAGCTATACATATAATAAAACCTGTTTTAACTCTAGCAAAAGGGATGAAGAAGAAAGTGACAAACTCACAGATTCACACGTGCAATGAAAAACACACTTAAAATGGATACCTCGTATCCTGGACTTCTCGCACTGGAAATCTGCTTCTGTTAGCAATCAGAATCCTTTTCTTCTGGGGCAGCACCACAGCAGCACGCCAGATTCGTCATGGGTGCAGAGTCCCTCCATGCTTCCTGAATTCTACCCCTGGAGGTCGTCATGGGCAGTGAAGTCAAGGGCCTTCTTTAGCGATTGACGGGAAAGGTCAGACCTGCCAAGTGATAATGAAAGTGTATCATTTTCTGTGATAACAGAGTAGTAATAGCTAGCTTTTAAGTGTTATGCATGTGTAAGGCATTGTGCTAAATGCTGTAATAATATTTCATTTAAGGACAGAAAATAGGTGATGCTGAGAACTACAAATCATACATTGGGTTATGGGTATCAGAAAAAGGAAGACATCAAAGGGGAGCTAACATGTTAAGGTGTCTGGGATGAACACTCCCCTAAATGCCTTCTCCTGTATGTTCTGGGCTAGGTCAGACCACAAGGGAGATTCTGTGAGTGATCTGCAGGGCGGTCCCTTCACAGCCCACGCGCATCATGGCTGACCTTCTTGTTGGCATGAGAAAGTGCTCCACCTTTCCCTGAATCCTCCAACTTTGCTGTGGTCATCGCTCAGCGGTGGGACGGAGCCTCCCACACATACGTCCGGTTCAGACATTGAGACTACACACGCACCATCAGAGTGTGAGGAGGTCTGTTATTCACAGAATGACGTTTTCTGGGGAGAACAAGGCTCTCTCTCAAGAAGGCTGGAAAATGGCTTAAGGGAGTAAAGACATTTGCTTGGGGTTTTATGGTGCTTAGAGGGTAGGGCTGGAGTGGTAGCTCCCATATGTAGGCTGAAACTTATGTGGTTTGAACTTCCTGCAAGTGCCAAAGGATGCAGTATCCAGGCTTTCTTATCGGCCTGCCCAGATGTGGGGCAGAGGGGAAGGGAGAGTGGTGAGGCTTAGAAGCTGTCAGCAGTAACAACAAAAATAGAATCAATCTCTTAGAAGCATCATTGACTAATGGATCAGGAATGTGTGTTTTGCCCCATGACGAATGGCCTTGGCTTCTATAGCGTGTTCACACCACCAGGATCAGAGGTAACAAGAATGGACACCAACTCCAATCCATCCTCATGGACTCCAGCTCAGGCTTGTGGGTTCCAGCTTCACCTTGCTTGATCCTACTTTATATTCATCTTCCCTTGCAGATTTCCAAACCTGTGGACTTCAAGCTCCAGCAGCAGGTACAAACACAACAATCTCAAAGAAGATTATGCTGCATAGCACAGGGAAATATATACAAGATCTTGTGGTAGCTCACAGCAAAACAACAAAATGTAACAATGAATATATGTACATTCATGTATAAACGAAAAATTGTGCTCTACACTGGAATTTGACACAACATTGTAAAATGACTATAACTCAATAAAACAAGAATATCCAATTAAAAAAAAAGAATACTTAACCAGTTCTCCCCAATGCCTATGGCGAAGTCCCTAAAATAAATACATAAGCAGGTATGTATATGTGTGTGTGTGTGTGTGTGTACACACTAGTGATTCTGCTTCTCTGAACTCTGACGGATACAGAAACTGAAAACCCCACTTATCTGGGAGATGGGAACATAAATCAAGAAAGGTTTGGCTTCTCTGACCATGTGATACTCCCGTTCAGTATGTTTCATGATTCTCAGTGGGCCCCCAGTAAGTACCCAGGTGTGTAAGGCCCCTGGACCTGCAGGTATACTCTGTACTGTAGCCCAGCTGAACTGCTGGCAGCTCTCTGACCAGAGAGCCAGTCACACACCCAGAATGCAACAGTCTGGGAAGAAGGCCAAGCCCCAATCACCAGAGGCAAGACTCCGGCCAATAGTATGCCATTAACCATGGTGACCTTATTTGTATGGTAGCCTGTGTGGTCCTGTGGGGCAATCCTCCACCTTTATCAGCCTCATTTTGAGAAGCAAGAGACCATGTGTACAACTGGTGAGACTTTTTTCTTTCCAAAGACTCTATACACTGAGAGTGTCTTAATTATTACATATTTTTATTAGAAACCAGTTCTCAAGGCCCTCATCAGTGTACTTTCTAACTTTCAGATCTGAGTCTAACTGTGTCAGTCATGCCGTCTCCATGTGGATTAATTTCCTCCCTTTCACTCTTCTCTGACTCCCATTACTTAGCACAGTAAATGCCATAGTATTTTCCTACAACCTCCAATTTGTGCCAAGTGAAGATTTTTCATCCTTGCAGACAGAATTTAAAAGTGCCAGAATTTAACAGCATAAGTTCTTATCAAGGCAAATGATTATAGTCGCTTGTGTAATTTTTGTTGACAGTTTTCTTTAACTTCGGTCTCCACGTCATAAAAATTAATGTCTATAATTTGCTTTACGGTCCCGAGAGGGGCAGCCAAAGAAAGAGGAAAAATACCTGCTCTGTTAGAAGGTATGGCCAGAATTGATCATGTGAGTAAAAACCCAGAATAATTAATGCTACCAAGATGCAAAGAAAAGAAAATGGAATAAAAAAAAAAACACTAAACAAATATACCAGGGGAGAAATATAAACTCTACAGAAGACAGGCCTGCTGATAAAAAGACAGAATCCTAAATTAATATGACTCTAAACTTAGCTGAATGATTGTAGTCATTTTTCAACTCCTGTTTACCAAGTCAAATTAGAAAAATAAACTTGCACAATAAGAATAATGGAGACACTGCAAAATAAGAATTGGCAAAATGCAGGTGGGGAGTACTTGAGAGCAAATGTGAACATAAACATTTGGTCTGGATGATATGCATCCTAACATAATAACAAAATTAGCAAACATCTATTGAATTGCTTATAATCGTCTTTAAACAAAGCACTCAAGACGCACCACAAGATTAGTGGAAAACAGATGTGGTATCATTCCACAGAGCAGGTGGGACCGGCTGAGCTAGCTATTGTAATTCAGAAACTCTACCTCAGCAATATAATGAAACAAATATAATAAGATGAAAAATCTTTAAACAGTTAGAACACAATGGGATCATAAGCAAAAGATAAGATGGGCTTACAAAGAAAATATCACATTAGGTTGAAGTCATAGATTTTTGCTAACAAATTAGAAAATCAATGGCTGAAGGAAATGAAGTAGACGTTTCATAATTGGCCTTTGGTAAAGCTTGTGACAAAATCTTATAAAATTCTACTTGTTAAATTGGTTTGAATTGGCTTAGAAATGAAGATAGTCAAATCTGGACTGGAAATTGGTTGCCTCGTTGAAGGAATATGCCTAGAAGTCTCGGACAAGGGCGAGTATTTGTATGTTTTAATACTCCTAGATTTTCCTTCTTCTTTTCAAGACCTTGATGGGAATGAGGGTAAAGTTACAGATTCAGGCACTAGCCATATACAGATGTTAAACTTTATATTTTTAGACAACTAAGCAGTAGTGCATCCATTTGACAAATCCAGAAGTAGAAGGAAATGAAGGAATAGAATAAAATGAAATATTTCTAATAAAGGCATTAAATACAAAATGCTGGCCATTTCTGATGATATCTGTGTAAACAAATAGAGACAGGGCTTTTTTTTTTTCTTTACTTGGTTGAGTTATCATCTATACACCTTCTGGATTTAAAATAACTGGAATCTAAGACCTTGATTGTTGAGTAACTTCCTCCCCCCCTTTTTGTACTGCCTCTCTACCCTTCCCACTCTCTCACTTGAGCATCCCCCTTGTCAACAGAAAAAGAGTCGTTAAGAAGCTACCTAAACCTTCATTGTGCAGCAGTAATAGCCATGCTCACACAAACCAGGTGAAAACTAGAGCCTACGCGTTCTCTCTCACAGGGCAGGGAGGAGCTGGTGAGGGACAAACTTGATCTGGCAGCATTACAGGGTGTGAATGGGACATTTGCTCCCTGGGACACAAAAGTAATGAGCAAATAGTAGGATTCTGTAAGATGTCTAAAAACTAGGTCACCTAATCTGATACAGATGGTAGGAGAAACCATGGAAATGGATAAGCAAAGGGGCAAAGAGGCAGAGAGGAAGGCTTGAACTGGGTCTTAAAGGATAAGCAGGAGGTCATGTGGGATTTAGGAAAGAAGGCAGGGAAAGACTGTCTCAGGCGGGGAGACCCTGACGTGTAAAGGCACAGAAGTAAGTGCATCCTGAGATTCAGAGCAGCTGCCGGGAATCTGGTATCTGACTGACTATACACCCAACGCTTGCCCCGCCACAACAGCTTCCCACTTTGAGTAGCGCTCCATCGTGCAAAGGCTAATGGTGACGGTCCCTATTAGGGCCCACAAGACCTGCATGGTCTGGCCCATTTCTAATTCTGCTGCTTCCCTGCTGTATCCTGTTGGGAGACAATCATAGGTCACTAGAGTTCCTGCACTTCTTGCAAGCAGAGGTATTAACTACCCTCCGTTCCAGTCTCTCTTGTCAAGGGTGATGGTATCGGGGACTGTCCTGGAAGTTATCTCCCTCGGGGGCAATAGGCAGGTTCCTGTCCAGTGTAATAAAGACAGTATCTCCCTCCAGATCAAAGGTCAGACAGGTCTATTCCCTGTTTTAAAATATTTGGGTTCCCAAAGCTCTGGATTCCTCAATGGTGACACAAACTCACTATGTGTTCAGCTCCACCTGGGCCTCTCCACATTGCCTGCGTGAGACTTTGGTGGTGGGTGTGAACTGATGCAAACAGGAAGCTCCTGCTATTTGTTGTGCCAGTAGAAATACAGTCTTTGGTCTCTGAACATGGAATCTTTCATCTCCTGTCGATCTCCATAAATTGGTGACAGGCTAACTTGTTTGGATAAGTCTGGAGTAAAATCTCAGACCCATCAACATTTTGACACACCCTCACTTTCTGAACTCTAGTCACATTCAGCATCATTAGACATCAGAAAAAACGCAAATGAAGCCCACAAAGAGCTATCACTGCATACCTATCAGAATGGCTAAAGCAAGAAACAATGACTGCACTAAATGCTGCAAGAATGAGGAGACACCAAATCACTCCACCTTTGATGATAGGAATATAAAGTCATACAGTCACTCTAGAAACAGTAAACCTGTTTCTTCAAAACCTAAACGTGCAATTACTGTATAAGTCATGCATTCCACTCTTGAGCATTTAGGCCGGAGAAATGAAAACTATTTTCTCACGAAAACCAGTACACGAATGTATACACCAGTTTTATTCATGATATCCC